CCTCTGATTCTGTGTCTTTCCTGCTTTGGTGAATCCAATGAATAGACAACTCTACCAAACTTTTTTTTTTTCCCCAACAGGTCAACTGAAATGCCAGAATTTGAACAAAGGCAACAAGGAAGACAGGGTCAGATGGCCAACACTGTGTCACATGCTCGCACTCAGTAAGGGTTCCCACAGCAACCGTCACTCATGGTAACAGCGAGGCAGCAGAGGACGACACACAGGCTGTCGTAGAAAGCACGGTGCCAAGTGCAGCACACTGAGTTACGGCTATCGTAGGAGTCTCAAATCTCAGCTCTCCAGCAGATGTCTCTGCCAAGGCTGCCTGCATACGGTTAGGGGCCTGTTCTGAGATACGGAACCATCACAGGGCGCTCAGAGGCCTCAGCAGCCCTGTTGGAGGTCCAAAGCGGCCCCAGGGAGAACTTTATTACAGGTGGCTCCCAGGGGGAAGGCGAACCGCCTCCTGCTCAGAAAGTCTGGCCGTGCAGTTTTACAGCCCACTTTGCAGTACTCCTCAACAACGGGTGCGGTGGACTCACACAGACCTGGCTTGTGAGAGCTGACAGGTAAATTTCAAAAAGGTAGCTACGGTGGTGGGGGCGTTCACATCAAACACTACAGATGCGCTTCCCTCCCGCCGCTCACCTCCCTTCACGACCCGGCCAGCCCCCAGCAGTGTCGGCCGGCCGGCCTTTTCCAGCTGGCCAAGGGCCAACAACCCTGAAGCCAAGTAGGGCTCGGTTTTCCTCATGCGCCTTTAAACTCCTACGACTTCCCCCCAAGATATTTCTGTGCTTCTTCCTGGATGTTCTCGAGTGATAAACGCTACCTTGGTGGCGTTCTGCCCCACAGACTGGGGGCTCTCCTCTTTGGTATCTTACTCTTCTCTGGGGAGATATAGCCAGGCTTCATCTGTATTTCTAAATACCCAGCAGATATTTCTAATGGCTTTTAGGATCAGGAGAAAATCAAAAAGTTTTAGAGATTACTGACAGATGGAAATAAGTAAATATTTAGTTCCCAGTGTAACCTTCATTCATTCAGGTAGGTAGCATTTTTTATTTCCCTAATTTACTTTAACCTTCACCCAAAGATGAATGATACCCTGCTTTGTCATAATTTTTTGATGACATGTGTTGCAATATATGACGTTATCCAGGCCACCTCTGAACCCAAAATCCAAAGCACTATTGAGAGTGGAAACTTAGATGATGGCCGGTGAAACTCCATCATAGAAAACTTAAGAAACTAGTTACACTGCGCTACAGTCCTGTGACATATGGAGGCACCAGTAGGTTTGCTTCTGATCCTCTCAGAAAACTACTGAATTTGTATGTCAAGAATTTTTTAGCAGGCTCCTAGGCCACTTGGTTGAAACTATAGGCTGGGCCAGTCTTAGAAATAGAAAGTAGACTAGTGGTTGCCAGGGCAGCCACCTATCAGAGAAAAGGGGAATTATTCAATGGATACAAAGTTTCAGTTTTGCAAGATGGACAAGTTCTACAGATCTGCTGCACAAGGTACACAGGGTTAAGCACATGGTACTATACCTTAAAAATGACTACTATCTGGGGCTAGCAGGTAGTGGGGTGTCAAGGCGCTGGATCACTACACGGCTGACCATGGTTTGGGTGCCAGACCTTGTGGCTTGTAAATCACAAGGGGGTGGGGGGGGTATGTGTACATGTGTGCCCAAAATCCAAGGAGGAAAATGGAGAAGGGATTGCAGCATGGCCATTCCTCTGGGGGTGGTGATTTCTCACTTTTTCTCTCTTTCTGTCTGTCTCTGGTGAGCACATGCACCCTAAGGCAAAAACCTTTCTTTTAAAAAAAGATTAATATGGTAAATTTTGATTTTTTAAAACCATATTACAATAAATAAATAAATACAGATAGGATTACCCCTTAGGCCTCATCAAATCCCTAGCATTGAGGTCAGCTCATACTAGACCCTTAATAAATGCTTGTGAATTGAATCAAAAGCAGTGCAATTAGGGGACCAGCAGTTAGTGTAATGGCTACGTCGCTGGATTCCCACGTAGTCGACCGCGGTTTGAGTGTGTGTGCGTGCCCAAGATCCCGAGAGGAGAATGGAGGAGGAGGGATTGTGGTGTGGCCATCTCCCCGGGGGGGG